GCGGCTCCGCTGGCGGAGCGGGCTTATCCATTGTTTCACTGAGTTCGATCACGTCGAGAGGCGCACTGTGCTGAGTGACGAGAAGACAGACTTTGGGGTTTAGCAGAGCTGCTTGAGTGACGTGTGGGTTCTTGGTGAGATCGAGATAGCAGAGTTGAGAAGGGACCCAGACCCGATATGGGCTGGGGTCTTCATGATTGGTGTTGTTGGCGTTTCCAGTTGTATTTCCATTGGTACTGGTACTGGTAGTGGTAGTGGTAGTGGCGTTGCTGCCGCTATCGCTATCGCTATCGGACGGTGGAAGGGCGAAGAACAGGTTGATGTCGCTGATGGTAAGGTTGGCTGAATCGAGGCCGAGTTCTTCGACGTGTTTGGAGAGGCGGAGGAGGGAAGGCATATTTGATGAGCGGATCTTTGCCCCACCCAAGTTCACCGAGCGCAGGGTGGAAGTTAGGTAGGGAAGGAGATTGTCGACGTCCGTCTCGTCCAGGAGTTGGTGTCTAGAGCTATCAGTCATGACATTCAAATAGACGAGTGATTCCCTCACAGCTGGGTGGGTGGTTAGGAATTTCACCACCTCCGGTCCAGTGAGCTTGGTGCAACGTGAAATGTTTAGGTGTGTGATGCGGGCGCTATGTGGGATGGACATCAACGCAGAATTCGTAATCTGGGTGTGGCACACATCGAGATGGGTCACGTTGACTAGGCGCGGGAGCAAAGTTTCGAATACGGGCGGAACGAGACCGCTGCACTCGTGAAGTGACACCCGGCGGAGGCTTGGGAGGGTGGCAGGGAAATCAGGATCTTCAGTGACGGCGCTCAGGAAGCCGTCGGAGAAGATGGAGGATGAACACCCGCAGAAATCAACAGCGCGCAGAGAAGGGGTTCGCGAGAGCAATTTTCGGAGAACGTCAACATTCAAATCGTCCTCGAGATGCTCTTGTAGCAGACATTCCTTGAGGTTTGTCAGCAACTCTAGGCATTCTAACAGGGTCTTAGAAGTGACGTTCTGAATTTCAACATTCATTTGCTGCGTACGACCCAGCCCAACAGAGGTGAAGTGGGAAAAGTCCAGGCGCCGGACAATGGTACCCAGAGCGGGATACTGCTTCATATGGTTTAGAGCCTTGGAGAAGATGATCGAATGTGGGATGGTAATGTGTCGATACAGGACACTGAGCGTCGCGGAGTGGAGTGTCCGAGAGGTCAGGAGACACGAAACAAGGTCAACATTCCGTGGAGTGTAGCCATTAGGGGGGATATCGATAGCCAAGTGGGAGATGATTTGGTCTATTATAATGTTTTAATAAAATATACCTTTTTGGGGTGGGAGGAAGAAGGATTTTGAAAATGAGACAGGGAGTAAATAAACATACCTAGGATTTCGGCGGGAAGCAATTCAATTGGCGCCTGTCCCTTTTTAACAGACTTCTTCGGTTCTTCTGCAACAGGCGTGATGCGACTTGCATCATTCACCTCCCAAGCGAAGCCCCTGGACTGGGCATTCCCTAACAAGCGGAGGTCACTATAGCTCCTACTCTGCCGCCGTCCACCTAAGCGGATCTGCTTCCAGCCTAAAAAGGCACCGCAGGGGCAGCAGAATTCGGGGGAATCTGGGGACTGGACCAAGGCCCTGGTAGCTGGATTACTGGCAAGGCGCGGCTGGTTGCTAGAGGAATTGTCCTCTGTATCCACGAATGTCTGGGCGATTTCTAGAGCAAGGGGAAGTTTGTCAGATATTTTAAAGGTTGCGACAGTTGGGTTGTTTTGTTATATCATCATATCTTATATTACCTGTAGAATCCTCTTTGATTGAGCCAAATGAAGGGCGGCGAGAACTCTCAGAGCCAGAAGAA